TCCTCGCGCACGCCTCCGCGCCCTGTATGAAAAAAGGTCCAGAAAAGGTCATGTTCCTCATCCTCCTGATTCTCCTCCTCCTCCTCCTCCTCCTCCTCCTCTTCCTCCTCCTCCCTCTCCTCAGTTAGGGGAACGAACATTGACACATACACAATAATTCGGAGATCCGCGCGGACTTCTCGGATCGGCGCTGGACCCCCCTGGCGGCGCCTCCGGCGCCGCCCCTGGCACCGCCCCTGGTGCGCTCCGCGCGCCAGGGAAGGGGGCCCAGCGCGGATCCAAAAAATCCGCGCGGACCTCCGAGTTGTTATGTTTATATGTCATGTTTCGCTACCCTATCAGTACAGTGCCGTTTTTCATACATGCTCCGCGTGCGGATCATGTATTACTCATGCAAGGATTCAGCTTAAAACAACGATGAGTTAATGCATACACTTATTCATACATTAATCATGTATTACAGCTCCTATTTTTTTTTTTAAAAAAAAAAAACATGTATGCAAAACTGCCCTGTACACCATGCTCCGCGGCCGCTTCGCCATGATCTGTCACGCGTGCTCGGCTGCCGTGCGCCCTGCGCCCCGCCTGCCCCCCGCCGTGCCCGCACTCCCGGGGCCTGCCCGCGCGCAGAGGCCGCCCTGGCCCTGGCCGTGGACGGCGCGAGCATCGACGGGAAGAAGCTGAAGATCAGAGCGCCAGGCCCTCCAGCGCCGTCGAGATCCTCCTCCTCCTCCTCCTCCTCCTCCTCCTCCTCCTCCTCCTCCTCCTCCTCCTCCCCTCCTCCTCCTCCTCCTCCTCCTCCTCCTCTCCTCCTCCTGCTCCTCCTTCCCTCCTCCTCCTCCTCCTCCTCCTGCTCCTCCTCCTCTTCCTCCTCCTCCTCCGCCTCCTCCCCTTGTGAGTCGGGAGAGGTTTGGGTAGACTCAGGGACCACCATCAAGGTCAGAATTGGTTTTGTGCAGTCGAGCGCCTGACGGAGAAGCCTCCTCCCGAGAAGCTGAGCCAGCGTTTCTCAGCTGGCCTGAAGGAGAGCTGGCCCAGTTTCTTGAGTACGTTCGCTTCTCCAGCGTTGCCAGAAGTTGGCCCAGGCTTTTTCCAGGAAGCTCCACGAAACTTCAGGAAGCTGGCCCCGATATCTTGAAGTATTACTTTCTGGATCAGATTTCCGGCTACAGTGGTGGGTGTTTTGGAAAGCAGTTCAGTCATGCACAGATGGCGTGGCCCGGCTGATGTATTGGGTCTGGCTGCTCGACTTGGAGATGGTTCGTCTTCGTTTGGCTGGTCCCGCGGGGTCAAGTTGTGTCGTTAAGCAGGCTACTCTGGTTCGTCGACACGCTCGTGCGGCTCGATCACTTCGTATGCTTGGTTGTGGTCGTCTGATTCGGCTGGCCTGTCTTCCCGGCGATCTCTGGAGATCTGAGCGGGGGAGGGGGAGGGGTGGCGACGGACCGGAGAGGCAAACAGAATCAATAAGGGAAGGGAGGAGAGAAGTGTAGGAAGAGAAGAGAGGGAAGCGAGGGAGGGAGGGAGGGTCTAGCGGAGGGAGCAGAGAAGAGCGGACAAAATTCGGGCAGGGCAAACTAACAGGGGAAGGGGGAGAGAGAAAGGGAGAGAGAGAGAGAGAGAGATAGAGATGGAAGAAGGAAGGGGCGACGTCGCAACAGGGAAGGAGGAAAGGGGGGAAGGGAAGGAGGCAACGGATCAGGACATGGTCGAAGACCGGGGACACGGAGCGCAGGTTGTAGAGCACGTGCGAGAAGAAGCGCGCACACCGGAGCACGAGCAGGGAGCATCAAGACGACCAGGAGGACGAGCAGTATAGTGAGAGCAATTTGAGCACGAGCACGAGCAGGGAGCATCAAGACGGCCAGGGAGCACGAGCACGAGCAGGGAGCACGAGCAGTATAGTGAGAGCAATTTGATGGGAAGAGATGCGGAGGTCAAGACTGCCAGGGAGCAAGGCGAACGTGAAGCGGCGGAGCACGTCGGGAAAAGCGACGAGCAGCATAATCAGGAGCAGCAGTGGCGACAGGATCACCGGCAACACGAGGAGGAGGTGGAACATGAGGATGTGAAGGAGGTGGATGAGGAGGAGGAGGATCATGAGGATGATGATGATGATGATGATGATGATGATGATGATGATGATGATGATGATGATGATGATGATGATGATGATGATGATGATGATGATGATGATGATGATGAGTATCAGCATGATGAGTTGGATCGGATCGGATCGGAGATCATGGAATCCAGTACTGCAACGAATGAACACACGTGCAACCGGACAACAACTTCACACATGCGTGACTGCTCGCTGCATGGGTTCTAAGAAGAGGCATACATCCCTCCACCATTGCGATATCAAATGGATGGCTGTCGCGCTCTGCACACGGCAGCACTGGCCCACGCGGCCTCCCTCATGGCGGGCACGCAACCTGCGCGCTCAGGGGACAGACTTTGGAGCGTGAGGCTCGTGTTCCCCTCTTCCACGAGAAGGACCCCGCTGCCCACGACCCTGCCCACCCCTCCTTTGAGCTCCACGAAAATGCGAGGCGGCAGCATATTCGCTGGAGCAGACTGGAGCTCACAGTGACTACACAGTGACCGCTGTCTGCATGTTGCTTAGCACGTCGGCTCACACGGCACCTCTAGCTACGAGCCTCTGAATTTGCAACTCTGACTGAATGCCCTCACGCTGCTCTGTTGCCTGGAAGTCTGCACACCTCTCTCTCCAAAGGCCCCCGTGGGGCCGAGCCTGCCATGTTCCGACCCCGCTCCAAGCGGGCCATCCCCTCCACCAGCTCCAGCCATCCTCTCCACCAGCTTCAGCAGCCTCGCTGCGATCGGAACCTCGCGAAAGAACTGGAACATGATGATGGCCTTCGGAGGCTGGTTCTCCTACTGCTTCAGAATTTTTCTGCGGAGAGTCCCGTATGCGCGGCCTAGATCCTCAATAGACACGCGCATCATCTGCTCCTCGTGGAAGTGCATGAACTCTGTGGTGAACTTCTTCTCCTGCTCGAGCTGCTCTCCCGCTGCTGGAGTGTGGCAGGCTCCGCAGATCACGGTGCGCACCAGCGCGTGGAGGTGCGTCGGGCCCCGCTCCTTGATAGTTGTCTTGGCCTCCTTGACGTCCTCCTCGTCGTCGGAGGAGGAAAGTATCAAGGAGGCTGAGGCGAATAAGGTGTGAGAAAACATGAAATCAGCTGCATCAGCAGCCACACCATTTCGAGGCGCTGTGTCGTAAAAACTTCCGCTCCGGGCGGCCAGGACTGCCAGGCCTGCAGCCCACCAGCAGCAAGTACCTCTGCTTTCCGCTTGTCTGCGTCGAGTCCTCTGGTTGCAACAGATACAACGTGCACTGATCGTGATGCACTCATGTGTGCCGGCCTTGTGAGGGGGAGGAGGAGGAGGAGAAGGAGGAGGAGGAGGAGGAGGAGGAGGAGGAGGAGGAGGAGGAGGAGGAGGAGGAGGGGTAGGAGGAGGAGGAGGAGGAGGAGGAGGAGAAGGAGGAGCATGAGGAATCGCCTGCATCTTCGCTGTGCTGCGCCTCAGTCATGTCTTCCGGGGCGGCCTGCACCGCCCTCGTCGAGGTGCACTCCTTCAGGGGGCGGGCCGCTGTCGCCAAGGGCCGCGCGGGAGAGCCCCGCCTCCCACGAGCTGCGATTGGCGGCTGCGGCGCCGCGCGCGGCGCCCCCTGCGCGCGCGGCCCCCGCTGTCTCGCCGGTGCGACCGAACTGGGTAGGGAAGGAACGAGAACGAAGACCGCGTGGGCGCAGGAGAGATAGTCAGGAGGGAACAAAAAACACACAGGCACAATTAATCGTAAACTCCCCAGAACATATGGGAATCTATGGGAACTGGGGGGAAGACAGAAACCCAGAAAATATGTGGGAAATATGGGGAATCCTGTTATTTGTGTGTATTTATTTGTGTGTCCCAGGGCCCCTTCAGGTAGGAAGGGCAAGAGAAGGGGTGGGTGGGAGGGAGGAGGTGGGCGAGCTGGATGAGGAGGGGTTTGCGCGCGGCCGGCTTCCGCGACGTGTCTGCGCAGAGCAGAACGGGAGAAGCAGGGGGAGGATGACCAGCAAGAACATGCTCAGGAGGAGCAGGATAAGAAGCAGAAGGAGAAGGAGGAGGAGGAGGAGGAGGAGGAGGAGGAGGAGGAGGAGGAGGAGGAGGGGAAGGCGGGGGAGGAGCAGTAGCCGGACGAGCAAGAAGATCAGCAGCAGGATAGGCGTGATCAAAGACGGGTGCTGAACGAACGGGTACGAAGACCGACGGCGCCTCCAGTTTATTTTGAGCAGGACTCGCCGTCGGTGTCGCCGCGGACGCTGTACGTTTGAGACAGACGGGGCTGCCTTACCAGCAGCGGCCGCTGTCGGTTTTGGACAACATGTGTTCGTCGCGCATCGTGATTGTGTGTTTTCCCTACCCACCTCGGGCGTACAAACTTCTGCTCCACGTCGTCGCCCTTTCTTCTTCTGCGAGCGCTAAGGTTCGCCCGCGCGGCGTGCTCCACGGGTTCTCCTGGCACTCGCGCGCGCCCGCTCGCGGCGCGCTGCGGAGCCACGCTGGTGGTGCGCCGAGGGCTTCCCTCTGGCAGCGGGCGCGGTTCACCGTTACTGGGTGTGTGCGCCCAGTGTGTTCTGAGGGCCTCTCTGCTGCGCGCGGCTGTCTCCTCCTTTGCCGCGTGCCCTTCCGCTTCACCTATGCCCAACTCGCAGTCTACAGTGTCCCTGTTAGTGCTTGACCGCGACTCGGACTTGAGGAGCCGCCGAGCAACAAGTGCGTGCAGATCACCTGCGGTTTTCGATGTCGATGCTCCTTAGGCCGACTGTTGCGCTGGAGGGAACCGAGTGGAAGGGCGGGATGCTACAGCATTGGCTCGGGGCCACGCGCATGCTATGGCGTACGTGAGCCGACCCCTCCCGGAAGCGCGCGCGTGTGGCGGCGCGGGGTCTCTCCCCCTGTGAGTGCTGTCTTCGTCGCGGGCGATGGCGTCGTTGCCGTTCCCAGACGGCGACGACACCTGCGTGCAGTGGGCCCAGAAGAATCCCAAGAAGCTGGGCAGCCTCTCGTTCGAGCGGTACGAAAGGTACAAGGGCAGCAGGACCGTCCGGGAGGCGAAAGCGCGCGGGGCCATCAGAGCGGACTTCGAGAATGATCACAAGAAGGGTTTCATGAAGATTGCCAAGCGCCTGTGGTTCCGTCTAAGAGCGCCGAGCCGCCGGCTTCTTCTCCGCTCAGTGTTGAACCAGCAGCGGCATCGGGCGCAGGCTTTGCACCAGTGTCTCCGTCCAAGAACTCTGCCCAGGCGCCCATACAGCCGCCCGCTCCTTCGCCGGCGAGTGTTGAATTAGCAGCGCCATCGGGCGCAGGCCCTGCACCGGTGGCTCCGTCTGAGAGCGCTGGCCTGGCGCCGGTGCAGCCGCTGGCTGCTGCGCCGCCGAGTGTTGAATCAGCAGCGCCATCGGGCGCAGGCCCTGCAGCTGCTGCGGCAGGGGTAGCGGCTGTGGCGGCGGCTTCTGGGGTCATGGCGCGAGCAGCCAGCACAGGCGGGTCACAGCTCACCGAGGAGCAGAAAGCTCGCATCAGCGAGAACAGGCGCAAGGCCGAGGAGAGGCGCGCGGCGAAGAAGCGCGCACTGGAGTGCCTGACTGCTGAGCAGACTGCGCCAGCAACGCCGCCGCAGCAGCAGCCCTCGCTGCCGCAGGCGCCTGCCGTCGAGGGGAAGGCAGCGACCGTGGCCCAGAGAGAAGCCGTACGCCTGCTGACGGCAATGTCCCAGGCGAAGAACAAGCAGGCCGCCGCTCAGCAGGAAGACGCCCGTGCAGCAAGGTCTCCCCAGAAGTCGGAGGCGCCGTCCACTCTCGCGGTGGAGACACCGGAGAAGAGGACGCCACCGAGCGGCAGGTCGGTCGCGCAGGCCGCGCAGGTGCCCCAGTGGCAAGCGCAGGCAGTCAAGCCAGTCGCGCAGGCGCCCTTGCGCCCAGCAACGGGCACTGGAGGCGGTGGCAAGTTCGCTTCTGTCGGCGGCGCCTGGGATCAGTTCAACGGCGTGTACTGCTGGCGCCTGCAGCAGCTTCGCGGCCCGGTGCTGCAGGAAGCCCGCAAGCTGTGGGGCGGGATGCTCCCGCCGCAGAGCTTCGTCCCAGACGTCGGATGCTACAAGCGAGGTGTTGAGGGCAGCGAGGTCGTGATCGTGGGCGTGGCTTTCAAGAGCCTGCAGGGCCGCACCGACGTCATCAAGATGTACCGCGATGCCGTGGGATTCGGCCACATCTCCGAGGAGCGCACGCGGTGCCTCGGCCGGAGCATCTGCAGCGACGGGGACAGCGTGTGGCTGGAAGACCAGGTCATGAGGTTGAGGCTGGCGCTCCCGCCAGAGCATGCCTCCAGGATCGCCACCGGCGTGGTGCTCGCGGCGCGCGGCGTGGCGACTACGGAGGACGGCTTCCGGCCGAGCGCCATCTGCTACGCAGCCGGGCCCGCGCCGCCGCCTCTGCCGCCGTCGCCCGCCGGCCGCGCGCCCGGGCCCTTCCTGGCGCTGGTCTCCGGACTCGGGTTCGGGGCCAGGGGAGCGGAGGTCGTTGGCGCAAAGCATGTTCGTATCTGCGGCCACGCGGGCCGGCCCCTGGGCCGCGACCCCGCGGATGCGGGGCGTCGCGGGTGCGGCCGCGCGTGCGCGAGACCGCGCCCCAGAGTCCAGACCGCGAGGCCGCGGGTACGGATGTATGTGCGCCGCTCGTGACTAGGGGAGCGGTCTCAGCGCCGCGCGCGAGCGGCTGTGGGCGTGGCTCGCCGCGGAGGGCAGCCGGGCGGCCCCGGGCGCCGTGCAGAAGCTCCTCGTCTGCGGCGGGCTCGTCTCGGGGGAGAGCCAGGACAAGGGCAGCGTCGTCGCCGCGATGGCGGATGCGGACGCGGCCCTCGCCAAGATCGCCGCAGTGGTGCCGACCGAGGTCTCGAGGAAGACAAAGTCATGGCATGAGCACAGACTTTCGGAGGTCCGCGCTGATCTCTTGGATCGGCGCTGGACCCTCCTGGCGGCGCCGCCTGCGCCGACCCTGGCGCGAGGAGCGCGCCAGGGAGGGAGGCGCCCGATCCAAGAATTGTGCGCCGACCTCCGAAAGCTTGTGCTTATGACATTCTGTATTCCCCGGAGGTCATGCCCGGGCTCGGGGATCCCTCGAGCCTCAGCCTGCCACAGATGCCGCTGCACCCGTACCTCTTCAGGCAGTCGCGGCAGCTGGGGGCCATGGCCTTCAAGTCCGTGAGCAACCCTTTCAGCTGTGAGCTGGACGGCGTTCACATCCTCGGCCACTCTGGCCAGCCCGTGATGGACTTGCTCCGTGGCACGCGTCTCGAGGCGCCGATGGGCGCGCTGCAGTTGAGCCTGGAGGTGCTGCACTTGGCGCCAACGGCCCCAGACAGCCTCCCGTCGCAGCCGTTCGTGGATCGGGACCCGTTCGTGATCGATAGGGTCCCCCATGTTCTGTTCTCGGGTGGCCACAGCAAGGCGGAGCATTGCTTCCGTAGACATCCGGGCGGGGATTCAGGCACCATGTGCATCTGCGTCCCCGCGTTCCACTTGCAGCCAGCCGTTGTCCTGGTCAACCTGCGGGACCCTCGAGACGTGCGTATCCACGAGCTCGGTGACACAACGATGCAGGATGCATGCTGACAATCTGCAGCGAGCAGTGCCACACCATATCTTGGTGTACTGCGAGCGGGGGGATTGCGAGCTGTTTTTTTGGTGGCTGGGGGCTGAGAGATCGCCCGATTGCTCGCAGAGCCGCTATCTGTGCATGATGCAGGTAGTCTGCGCAAGGGGCTTTTCGTGAAAAGCGATGCATTCACAGAGGCGACGATCAGCATTTGTTGGGGCTGCGCGGCCGTTGCTTCGCTCGTGGCGCGAAGAGAAAATATCAGTGTTGCCCAGACCCCGCTCGGCCAGGCCCTCTCCTCCTCCTCCTCCTCCCTCCTCCTCCGCCTCCTCCTCCTCCTCCTCCTCCTCCTCCTCCTCCTCCCCTCCTCCTCCTCCTCCTCCTCCTCCTCCTCCTCCTCCTCCTCCTCTCCTCCTCAACACGCCCGACCGTCCATCCCACGAACTCTAGAGCCTTCATATACCCACGACGGGCGGCGGTTCTGAGATCTGACGCCCGGGGCTACGATGCAACTCCTGGGAGATCAAGCTCAGGATCGAAGCCAGCCCAGCCCAGCATGATCCTGCTCAATCCCGGATGACCGGGCCTCCAGGCTTCCACCGTTCTCAAGGATCAGGAAGGAAAGAAACACACAGACACAATTAATCGTCGATTCTCCAGAAAATATGGGAAAATATGGGAAGTGGGGGGGAAGACAGAAACCCAGGAAATATCGGAAAATATGGGGAATCCTTTTATTTGTGTGTATTTGTTTGTGTGTCTCAGGGCCCCTTCAAAGGAGGCCTCCCAGAAGTTGCCCTTCCGACCATGGGGCCTCGCCTCGGGCCCCCCCCTTGCCCTCGCCTTCAGGGGCGCCTCGGCGGGCGAGGGGTCCCGTGCTGAGCGGAGGCCACGCCGCTCCGGATCTGCGACGCTGCCATCTCTTCGGGCGGGGCCGGGACGGAGTCGAGTCGTCCCAGAGCGTTTGGGAACGCTCTCGGAGCGTTGCGGAGCGCTCCGGGAGGGCCGCGGCACCCGACACATCCTCCAGAGCCGCCGAATCTCAGAGACCCCCGGTCTATCCCCGTCCGATCTTGTCCTTGTCCTGGCCTCGTCTTGCCTACCTTTCCTCATGGCTCGAGGTGACGGGCGGGACAGTTGCCTGACCACAGCTCGGGCCTCAGGGGGCTCTTCTGGACGATGTGGCGTGGGTATGTGCCACCCCAGGACCTTGGGCGACGCGCATCTGTCAGAGATCCCGTTGAGGCTCGGTTTTCTCCTGCCCTTGCCAGTGTTTTTTTTTGTTCTCCTTCTCGTAGTCCTCCTCTGCTTTTTCTCCTCCCTGCTCCCTCTCCCCCCTTTCCTGCTCCTGCCTCCTCCCTCCTCCCTCCTTTCACCCCATTCCTCCATCCTGCCTTCCTTGTCGTGCCTCCTCCCCCCCTCCCTCCTGCTTCCTCCATCCATGCTCCATGCTTCCTTCCTCCCGCATCTCGCCCCCCCTCAGGACGAGCCGTGGCTGGCTGCGTGGGCAGAGGGCCCCCCTTGCATGGTGGCACAAGTCGCTCAACGGCAGCCCCGTTTCGCTTCCTCGCCAGCGCAGTGACCCTGCCTAGCCGCCGACGAAAAAAAGCAGGAGCGTGGTCAGAGGGGGCCGTCGCGTTCGCTGCTCCCCACGGGCTGCCACGCTCCCTGCCTTCACGTCCTCGCCCCCCCGCTCCCACCCCCCCCCCTCCCCTCGTTTCTCACCTCGGTGCCCTCCACAGGCGCTCGTGAGGCCTGCTTTGCTCGCTCCCGAGGGCCAGGTCCAGACCGCACGAGCCCTCCCTTCCACCCCGCCCTCCATGCTGTCCCCCCCTCCCTCCCGGTGCAGGGGCGACGGTGGGCCGAACCGTCTAGCGCCCCATGGTTTTGCCCTCCCCAGCCGTCGGAAGCGGCGGCTCCATCTCTCGGCATCTTCTGGCTACTGCGCCCCGGAGACCGGTAGTGCAACTCGGAGTTTGAAGAGGGGGGAGGAAAACCGAATTCCTTCCCTCCCTCTCCCCTTCTTGTCGGGTTCTGAAATGATGCCCGCTGCCCTCCTGCCAGACGACCCTGCGCCCTCGCGAGGGCGCAGTGGCACTGCATGGCAGCAGTCCTTCCCGTGGGCCATCCCGTCTCGTCGTTCTCGTCTTTGGCGCCTTCTGCGACTCTGTCTCCGTTTCAGTTGCAGCGCCGCCAGCGCTCTTCAGTCGTCGGCCAGTGTGGCTCAGGGGCAGCGTTCGGGGAGGGATGCTTCAGTGGTCGCCGACAGCGGCCCGATAGCCCCACCGCGCCCAGGGACGCTCGGATCTGTTTTCGGGGACCCATCGCCGATCCGTCGGCGATGCTTCGCCGATTCCAGGTCGACGAAGAGGCTGATGGGGGAGGAGGAGGAGGAGGAGGAGGAGGAGGAGGAGGAGGAGGAGGAGGAGGAGGAGGAGGAGGAGGAGGAGGAGGAGGAGGAGAGGAGGAGGAGGAGAGAGGGAGGAGGAGGAGAGGAGGAGAGGAGTGTTTCGGTCGTTGTTTCCCCCCCCCCCCCCCCACCCCCCTGGGCTGATCCCCTCCCCTGACGCTGCCCCTCAGTGGCGCCTCGAGCGAACGAGCTTGGTGCAGCGAGCCGATTACCTGTGAGCCCGGCCGTTTTGCCCCCACAGCTGCCATTCTTGCCAGTCGCCTGCTTGTTGGGAGTGCTGCCATGCGCGCCCCCTTGGCGCTTTTGCTCTTCGGTGCCCCCTTGTCGCAGCGCCTCTGGTGGTACCTGGGCCATCCCTCATCTCTCTCGCTCTCTATCGTTCTCTCTCGCTCTCTCTCTTCTCTGTTGATTGTTATCTCGCTCTCTCTCTCCCTCTCTCTTTCTCTTTTTCTCTCACATTCTATCCCGCTCTCTCTCTCTCTCTCTATATATATATGCCTGTCTATCTGTGTGTCTCTCTCTCTCTCTCGATATATATATATATATATATATATATATATATATATATCTGACGATGTCTCTGTCTCTGTCTTTCTCTCCCGCTGTCTCTCTCTCTCTTTCTCTCTCGCTCTCTCGCTCTTTCTCTCCTTGCCTTTCTCCTCCCTCCCTGCCTTCATCCGTTCCTCCCACCCCGCTCCCTCCTTCCCACGCTCCCTCCTTCATTCCCTCTCCGTCCCTCCCCCTGCCTCTCTCAAACTCCCGCTCTCTCTCTCTCTCTCTCTATCTCGCTCTCTCTCTCTCTCTCTCCCCCTCTCTCACTCTTTCGCTCTCTCTCAATCTCTCTCGCTCTATCTCTCTCACACACTCTCTTTCTCAAAGTTCTCTGTTGTATGTCTCTCTCTCTCTCTCTTGATCTGTATCTATATATATATATATATATAGATATGATCGCGGGCTCCAGGCCCACGCCCCCCCCCCCCAGATGGGATGGGTCCCAGGGTCCTCCCCCCCAGATGTGATGAGGAGGAGGAGGAGGAGGAGGAGGAGGAGGAGGAGGAGGAGGAGGAGGAGGAGGAGGAGGAGGAGAAGGAGGAGGAGGAGGAGGAGGAGAAAGAGGAGGAGGAGGGCGACGACGACCACGGCGACGACGACGACGAAGACACCGCCCGCTCTGGCTCCCTGAAGCACCAGAACACAACGCTGCACCCAGAAGGAGGCGACGACGGGAAAGACACCGTCGACGACGATGTTTCTTTTCCTCCTCCCCCCGTCCGCCTCTCCATCCCTCCCTCCTCGTTTCTGCCCCTCTCTTCCCTACCTTGCTTCCCTACGCCTGAGGCATTACGGTAGGGCACCTCTCCTCCGTCAAGTGTGGCAGTTTTACGTCATGCCTGGGACGAGTGCAGCAGTTTTACGTCATGCCTGGGGCGGCGATGCGTGTGCCGATGCCGATGCCGATGACCCTCCTCCTCCTCCTCCTCCTTCTCCTCCTCCTCTTCCTCCTCCTCCTCCGACGACGACGACACGACGGCGGCGGCGGCGGCGCCAGCGACGCCGACTCTTGGCTGAGGCGGACCCCTAACCACCGCACGCCCACAGGGGGGACCCTACACCACTCCCACCACAGGGGGGGGGCACCACGCCACGCCCACGCCCACAGGGGGGGGACCATCGCACGGGGGGGGGGGGGGGGGGCGATGGCATTAGCATTGGGGGGGGGGGAACCCTCGACCACATATATATATATATATATATATATATATATATGCATACATATGTATTAATATATACAAAATTATCTATCTATATGACCCTCTCCCTCTCTATTTTGTGCCCTCTCTCCTCTCTTCTTACCTGCCCCCCCACCCCCACCCTGACCACGCCGCGCCTGGGCCGTGGTCAAGACGCCTTTAAGTGTTACGGAGGCTTCTTGGAGTTTGCCGGCAAACGCCGTCTTTTTTGTGGGTTCCTGAGAGGATCGGCGGAGTAGCGGAGTAGCCGAGACCTCGCAGCTCCCTGGGTGGCTGCGATCTGTGTAATTGTCGCCCCTTTTCTGGGCTCTTGGGAGGCACGGCGGAGTCGCAGATCAGCCGGGACTTCGCTGTCCCTTGGGTGGCTGCGAACTGCGAAACCGTCGTCATTTTCGTGGGTTTCTGGGAAGTCCATCGTAGTGGAGGCCACGTGCATCCAGCCGAGACCTCGCTGCTCCTTGGGTGGCTGCGAACTGTGTAATTGTCGCCACTTTCGTGGGCTCCTGGGGGGCGCAGCGGAGTCGGGGAGTACGCGCATCCAGAAGGGACCTCGCAGCTCCCTGGGTCGCCGCGCACTGCGCAACCGTCGCCACTTGTCGTGGGCATCCTGGGATGCACGGCGGATGGGGCCACGCAGACCCCGACGGGACCTCGCTGTCCCTTGGACTTCCAGTGGTGCAGAGCGTCCTCGCAGCGTGGTCTTTGGCACAGAGCGTTCCTTCGAACCGTCGACCCGCGTTGCGCAGCGGAGGGGCACGCCTCGCGCAAGTTTCGAGCCGGGCAGCTCTGCAGGTGGCCCCCCGGGCCCGAGACGGGGCGAGAGAGCGCCCCGCGCGAGCAGAGTGGCAACGCCCGGATCTCGGGGGTCCGTTCCCCCTCCGCTGTGCCTGCCCGCCGCCCTCTCCCGCCATGATCCCCTTCTGGCAAGGGGGGCAGTCCTCCTCCTCCTCCTCCTCCTCCTCCTCCTCCTCCTCCTCCTCCTCCTGCTCCCCCTCCCCCTCCTCCTCCTCCTCCTCCTCCTCCTCCTCCTCCTCCTCCTCCTCCTCCTCCTCCTCCTCCTCCTCCTCCTCCTCCTCCTCCTCCCCCTCCTCCTCTCCCGCATGGGGGGGGGGCAGTCCTCAGGCTTTGGCCTCGGCCTCGCGCCGCCGCTGTTTCGGTGCTGGCCCGCTCGTCGCAGGCCGTACGCCTCGGCACGGCCAGCCTCCGCGTGCCGGTCTCGGGCCAGCCCGGCGCCGGGGCGACTCTTGGCGGCACGGGTCGGCCGAGCTGGGAGCCGGGCCCTCCGACACGCCTCCCGCCGTGGTGCTCTTCCACCACAAGCGGGGGCGGGGGCTCGCTTCCTCCCCCCCACTGCCGCCTGCTGCCGCCCATGCTAGCCGCCGCCGATGCTGCTCCCCCCCCAGCAGGCTTTTGCTCCCAGCGTGCGTGCAGGTCGCAGGCCGCCCCACGTGTGCAGGCACCAGTGCGACCTTCGCGTGTCGCCTGGGAAACCACGCGTGAGCGGCGTTCGGGCTGCAACTCTTGGTGCGACCCCGATATCTACTGAGAGTTTTCAGCGAGGCGCAGCCTGGTTCGCCTTTGCTCAACCAGGGTGTGCGCCGCAGGTGAGGCCTACACGGGTTTCAAGATGACCGTCGCCAGCAACAAGTCCGCGCCCTACTGAACGAGGCCTCGCGGTTGCCGCTCGCCGCGACGTCTGGGGACAGCCAATGTGCGCTCATGCTGTCGCATTCGAGCTCGGCCAACCAAAGTTGGGAAGGAAGGTGTCTTTTGGATTTTGTCTGGGCCTGGTAGGCATCATTCCAGAGAGGGGAGCAGACATGACATTGGACAGAACGGTGATGGTGCACGTGAGTAGAAGCGTATTGTCCGCACAGCGCATGCAATAATGAATTCCCAACCATCCTGTGGTGTTGGGTCTTCGTTTTGAAGAAACAGCGCCCCGCGTCCCTCCCTCCCTCCCTCCCGCCTCCTCCTCCTTCTTCTCCCTCCTCCTCCTCCTCCCTTCTCCCAGTCCTTGCCCCTGCCTTCATAATGTTTCTGTTTCGGTACACCCCTCACACGTTTCGCGGCCCCATAGGGAGCCCCACCTAAGGTCCCAGTGGCGCAGTTCGCATGGCGCCGCCGCCCCATTATGGCGCACTCCTCACACGTTTCGTGGCCCCACAGGGAGCTCCACCTAAGGTCCCAGTGGCGCAGTTCGCATGGCGCCGCCGCCCCATTTGGGCACACCCCTCACACGCTTCGTGGTCCCATAAGGAGCTCCACCTAAGGTCCCAGTGGCGCAGTTCGCATGGCGCCGCCGCCCCATTTGGGCACACCCCTCACACGCTTCGTGGCCCCATAGGAGCTCCACCTAAGATCATCCCGGTTGCGCAGTTTGCATTGCGCCGCCGCTCTGCTCCGCGCAGCGGACGACCCGCGCGCGTCGCCGGGACCCCTCCGGGGCGACAGACGCGCGTCGCGGGGATTCTGCGCGGCGCCGCGCCCGCAGCCTTGGACATGGGCGTGCGCGGGCAATGACGGAGAAAAAATAACGGGAACGAAGCGACCGCGATCCTCGCGAGGAACGTGCCAACATGGGCGTCGCGCGCGCGGGTGCTGCTGTCGGGGTTCCAGGGGAAGCTTCCTGCGGCGGCCACGATCAGTGGCACGAGTACTTAAGGTCAGGCATACGTGAACCATTCCCATTCATATATATATACACATATCTATACATATACGTATACACGTATATCTATATATATATATAAATACACGCACCAGGCGTGGCCATGCTCGCAATCATGCAGATGTATCCAATCGCACGCAGATTCAGTCACACTCAGACTCACTCGCGCTCAGACTCACCCGCGCTCAGTCTCGTGTTGTGTACCCCGCCACGGACTTCGGCGCACCCCTCATACGGTTCGGGGCCCCGTAGGGAGCGCCAGCGAAGTAGATATCAACAGTTGCGGTATTCACAACTGCATATGGTCGGGTCCTTCGCCAGGCTTTATTTGTCATAGTTTAGTGTTCGGATGTGGGCCGACCGTGCGCTTGAATGTTGGCCATACGCTTTGCATGTGATGACATTGGGCCACAGGTGCAACAACCATCAGACAAGCATCTTGTATAACCAGCCGCATGGACATATCAGCAACGGCGTGGTGTCTTTTTGAATTTGACGTTTTATCCAGATTTCCACCTGATGGTTCGAAGAAGGCTGTATACATGCTGTAGACGGGTCAGGCTCCACGAATTAGAATTGCAGTTTCTGATCTCTCGCGATGGAGTCGCAGGTCGTAAGTCGGTCGTTCAACTGCGGGGATGGTTTGGCCAGCGCCTTGACGTGAGACTCGGGGTAGGCGTCAGGCAGGCGAGTGTGAAGAGGGATTGGATGGATTTCATCTGAGGTTTTCGACCGGCTTGGTGCTCAGCAGATAAGGCACGATCGCTCTTACCCCCTGGGCGCCCCCACCCCGGTACGGCCACAAGTGGCGGCCAAGTTGGCCTCAGTCAAGTGACAAGATAGGGGGAGGGAAGCAGCCGGGGCTCACGTCTCCTGCCTGCCCCTGCGGGCGGCGCTGGAGCGGAGGGAGCGGGGTTCTTTTCCGCAGCGTGAACTTCTGGAGAATCCGACTCTGGGTCCGCACTTCGGCCCGAGAAGGTTTGTTTTTGTCCCGGGGCCTGGTAAGCACCCAGTGCTTGGGATGTAATCTCTGGGACGTTCAATGCAGCGTCGGCGCTGGTAGATCCATGGTCGACACTTGGCCGAATCCGGCACAATCCCGTTCAATCCGGCTCAGTCCCGCGCAGTTCGGCCTAATCTGGCCGGGTCCAGCCGAATAGCTCATTGACCTCTCCTGACAGCCCTGAACCATTTCTTGCGAAGACCTCCCAGAAGTCGCCGCCCAACCAGCATGGAAGCCGATCGTTGGCCACAGCAATCTCCGTGGTGCTCTCGTCTCGCGCGGCGCCGCCGATGCGGCCCGGCGAGGTGGGACGCCCTGTGCCACGTACGCGACGCGCTCCCGCTCCCCCAGGCGCGAGGGCGCAGCAGCGTGGCGCCGGAGGGCGGTCGGGTGTCGCCAGGGGCGCCCCCAGGCCCGCGGCGGGTCCTCGGAGTCTTCAGCCCCCAGCGGCCTCCAGGCCCAGCTCTCCGACGCTGTATGGTTTTCTGGCAGTTTTTCCGCGAGCTCGGCCTCTGTGCCCCGTCATCGGGCCCCGGGACTGCAGCAAACTCACCCAGAACCAGAAACTACCAGGGGTCGGGGCCCCCAAGGGGCCACGAATTGGAAGTACCACATCGTCCGGCGTCGGGGGGAGCAGCCCTCACGAGGCCCAGAGGGGCCCCGAGTGCTCCCAGGTGGCCGCAAGGGGAGCCGGGGGAAGTTCCTTCTCGGGCCAGGGCCACCGGTGGCAGCACCTCCGAGAAGCGGCCGCCGCTCCGCGAGGGGTCCGCGCGGAGAGCTCGGGCGACGGGGGCCCTTCCCCGCAGGCCTCCCCAGCGGGGCCCGTGCAGATGGGCTGAGGGGATCGCGCCGCATCGCCAACGCGTCGCCGCTGCATCTCGATGCGGAGCTCGATGTTCTCGACGCCCATGGCGCCGAGGCACCGCCGACGCCGCCGGTGCATCGCCGGTGCATCGGCGATGCGGCGCGATCCGTCGGCCCCGTCTGCTGCAGGACCCCACTGCCGGGAGGCCCCGCCTCCCCCGCCTCCCCGCCGGGCGCGCGGGGGCCGGGCGACGCCGGGCTCGGGCCCGCGGCCGGACGGCAGGCGTGGCCGCCGCCCCGCCCCCCTCCGCCGCTCTCTGGACGGCGAGCGCGGCGGGGAAACGGGCGCCAGGCTCCTCCTCCTCCTCCTCCTCCTCTTCGTTTTCCCCCAGTCGTGGCGGCAGGGCGGGCCAGCGTTTCGCCCGAGACTTCTCCACCACATGTGATCCTGACGCCCGACGTCTGCAAGAGCTTCACGGCCGGAGGTCGGGCCGCTTCCAAATTGTGTGGCTCTCGCCTCCGCACCGCGCGCCTTCGTATGAGATTTCTGCCGCAGCTTCAAGACTGGAGGGCGGATGGTCTGTTCAGTGTGGCTTCCGCCCCAGTTCCGCGCACATTGGTGGTACAAGCTTGCGCAATGTCAAAGGTGTTGGGCGGTGAAAGCTTGCGCAGTTTCAAAAGGTGTTGGGTGGTTCCTCTTCAACATGCAGCTCTCGTCCCGGCGCCGCGCACGCTCTTTGTTTAGCGTGCAATCGTTTGAAGGACGAAGGTCGGATCCTTTTCAACATGTGGCTCTCGCCCCAGCGCCGCGCACATCCGTTCTGCAAGGTCACAGCAGCTTCTACGATGAGCACTGTCGAGGTTCCAGGCAATGTGTTCTGGCAAGATTTAGGATTGCCGGGACAGAGCAGTAAGGTTGATTCGCGGTGCTAAAGTCCCAGGCATTGAGTCTTGGCACAATTTGGAGTTGTCAGGACGCAACACACACGTGGATTTGCGACGCTGAAGTTCCAGAAGTGTTTTGGCGCGATTGAGGGTTCTCAGACTTTGTCTTCCAATTGGGCATTTCCCGCAATGAAGGTCGACAAAAATTATGCAGGGCCCTGATAAAGGGGAGCTTTGAAGGAGGGGTTACTGCAACATCGTTGATGCGTCTTGGGTTTACACTGGTCCTGATCCAGTCGCGGCGATCTGGCTCCTCCAGCTCAGGAGCTCCTGCAGGGCAACCCACGGGCAGGCCTTACACGTCTCTTCCTCCCTCTCCTCCTCCTCGAGGGTGGGAAGAGGCGAGCCGAGCGTCAGTTCCACCCGGCACGCGGCTCTATGTGTGCTCCGGCAGCGCGCACGGGGAGCGGCAGGGAGGCGCCGTATTCGTACGGGGTGGCGCGGGAGGCCAGCAGGAAGGCGCTGCTTCTTGCCGGCGTCGGTCCGGGTCTGTGTCTCTTGGGTGACCATCGGGGTGGCGCTGGTCGTCGAAAATCGCTATGGGGGAAGCAGGTCCTGAGGGAAACGGGTCCTGAGGTTTTTCGCCGTTTTTGGCTTCTCGGGGCCCTCCACGGGCCCTGGGACTGTCAGAAAACGATTCAGGATGAAGAGCTGTTCTTGGGGGGAAGACACCAGGGTCCAGGATCCATTTCCCTCAGGACCCGTTTCCCCCTATGCTAATCTCCTAGGGGACCATCGGGGTGGCGATGGTCGAGAAACAAGTTGACCGCAGTAAGACTGTAGACACTCCCAATCGTGGAAAGAAGTATCTTTTCGATCCCCCTTATTGACGGACTGGCGCCCACCAGTACTAATGGGCAATAATTATTTCTCCTGGGCACCCGCCGCACAGCAATGACGACGACGACGACGAGATGAAAGAGGAGATTGTGAGCCACGCCTTCGGCGAAGAACGCAATCATGTTACAACTTGCTCACAATCCTTCTCTCGTGCATGGTAGCCCAGGTATTCTTTGGGAGACAGAACCCCCCAACATGATCTGGCCCGCCGAACAATACAGGGAAAACAACCCCGCCGCGACGACGGCGCTTACGACTACGGCTAAACTCTCGACTACGCTTGCGACTAAAACCACGACGACGATCACGACTAGTCGAAGTAATAGTAGTAGTCGTAGTAGTAGTAGTAGTAGTAGTAGTAGTAGTAGTAGTAGTAGTAGTAGTAGTAGTAGTAGTAGTAGTAGTAGTAGTAGTATGTAGTAGTAGTAGTAGTAGTAGTAGTAGTAGTAGTAGTAGTAGTAGTAGTAGTAGTAGTAGTAGTAGTAGTAGTAGTAGTAGTAGTAGTAGTCGTAGTAGTCGTAGTAGTAGTAGTAGTAGTAGTAGTAGTAGTTAGTATTAGTAGTAGTAGTTAGTAATAGTAGTAGTAGTAGTAGTAGTAGTAGTAGTAGTAGTAGTAGTAGTAGTAGTAGTAGTAGTAGTAGTAGTAGTAGTAGTAGTAGTAGTAGACAGTAGTGGTAGCCCGCCCCCCCCCCCCCATTTAGCTACTCGTACTAGTCGCTAGTGTTAGTAGTGTAGTAGTAGTAGAGTGAGTAGTAGTAGTAGTAGTAGTATAGTATTAGTAGTAGTAGTTAGTAGTAGTAGTAGTTGTGTTGGTAGTAGCGTAGTACTAGTTAGCAGTTGTAGTAGTAGTAGCAGCAGCAGTATGCTACTAGTAGTCAGTAATACCGCCGTTTGCGAAAACTAACGCCCACGCGTGGAAGTACCGAGATCCCCGCCCCGCGCCCCGCATTTCAATGTTGGCCACCGAACACGCCGAAGGGGAGTGCGAAGCGTTGCGAAATAAACGCCCACTTATGTTGGACTGCCCAGCCCTCCCCGTCAACCTTGAAATACGGGGGAAAGGGGGCGTGCTTCGTCGTCTTGTTTTCGATCCCCGATCCCTAAGATGGGCGTTTATTTCGCAAACGGCGGTGCCCCCCACGAGCGTCTTATAGTGACACAACGCTGTGCATTCACACATATATATATATGTATATATTCCCATATGTATATGTTGTATGTGTATATATATATATATGTATATATACACGTGTATACATAAGTGTGTATGTACACCCTATTTGCACATCCATATGCCTTTTCCCCTATGTGTGCATACACCCATGCATACACGTACGTGCATGCATGCATTCACGCCGCCACGCAATGCGAGGCTATTCACGCGACGCTACCCGTGCGGAATCGTCCGGTGGCGACACAACGCTGATGACCCCCTTTGCTCTCCCCTGCAGCTTCCGTCCACTCTGCCCTGTCTACCTCGTCTCGCACTTCTACCCCTTCGAGGCGTCATTTCCGCGCAAAGACGATGGATGCGCTGCCGGGCGCCACGCGCGCGCACGCGTAACCCCACTGGGCGGCGCCAGCGGCGCCCGCGCGCGCGTGCTCACTGGAGTGCAAAAGCTGACATGATGTTGTTTTTTGCTCTTTTTTATTTTTGATTTGTTGTTTTTTTTTTTTTTTGTTTTTTTTGTTTTTTTTTTTTTTCTTGATGTCGTGTTCTTTTTTTGTTTTTTTTTTTTGTGTTTTTTTTGATTGATGTTTTTTTTGACAGGCGGGCGCTCGCAAACCAAGTGGACTTGGTCAGCGGTGCCCGCACGCGCGTGCTTCCGGAAGCGCAAAAGCTGAGAGGCGGGCGTGCGCAACCCAACTGGGCTTCGCCAGCGGTAACCGCACGCGCACCCTCGCGAGCATGCAAAAGACGCGGGGCGGAGCGCTGGGGGGAAGCCCCCGGCGCTGCCCGCGCGCCCCCTCAGGGCGAAACCGGAGAGCCGATTTGCCCAAGAAGTCTGCGCTTCTGGAGCGGGAGCAGCAAGGCCCACGAATTCAGACGGACCCAGTCCGCGGAGAGCACCTCGTCCACGGCAACCGCACCCATCGCGCGGACATCCGCCAGCAAGGCGTCTGCCTGCGCGCGGGGTATGCGCGCGTCGGACATGAGGTCGTCGAAGCCGCTCACAGGCGGCACGCCCGCGTCTGCCCCGACCGGCGCAGCGGGCGCCGGGCGGAAAACGCCGACGGCGTCGAACTTTGCCGCCTCCCGGACGCTCCACGCGGTCATGCACGGACCACGCGAGAGTACGTCCTGCAAAGAGCCGTCCGACAAGACGGAGGTGAATGGGAACTGCCTCACGCGGTTCTGCATGTGCCGGATGTCCTCCGCACCCACCATATTCGTCGTCTCCCAGAGGCCCTCCAGCTTGCCCGTGAAAACGGCGCCGTGGTTCCAGCAGACGCCCTTGTTCCCGTCGTTGAAGGACTGGGAAACCTGGATCTCGGTGTGCTGGCCGACGAACAGAGACAGGAACGAAGAGACGGGGACGGTCTTCTCGTGGGCGAACTCAACCGGCCGGAAGTCGCCCCAGAAGATGAACCGCTTCGTGCCGCTGGCCAGGTTCCGGAGTCCAAAGGAGGAGCCCAAGGTAGGCTTGTGCAGAACCCGTTTCGGAGTGAACAAGTCGTCGAAAGGGTAAACTACCGTGCTCTTCCCGGAATTCGACGGCCCCACCAGGAAGGGCACCCTCGTCGTCTTCTTCGGGCCGACCATCAGAATGTCCCGCAGAGACGCCGCGAGCTCCCGAACGTCGAAAGAAGCGGCGTTGCGGGAGAAGATGGTCCCCACGGCTGACCTGTACGAGCACGCCGGGCCATGGGGACATGTCTCCTCAGCGCAGCGGCACCTGAGCGTCCAATCGTCCACCGCCTCGAAGGCCGCGTTCTCGCGGGCAGACGCCCACTCCTTCGTCTCCTCAAGGTCCGCCGTCAGCTTGCGCGCTCGGCTGCGGACGAACCGCTGCATGGCCTTCGTCCCGCGGTCCTGGACGTGCGCCATCAGGCTGCCCTTCGTCCACAAGTGCTTGGCGATGATGGTCGAGGTCAAGTCTACGAGGTCGAACGTCGTCTTCGTGCCCATCGCCCCGGCCTCCTTGTCCGTGGCCTCCCGGCGCTTCACCCACACGCCTGCCATGCATGGCTCCTGCGACCTCTCGAATAGGTCGATGGCGTCGTTCTCGCGCGCGAACCCGGCCCAGTCTGGCTGCCACACCCACGGGGCGTCGTCGACATCTGGTTTGGCTGGGGTCTCCATATACCCGTACCTCACGGCGCTCCACATTCGCTGGTGGGAACCAGAGAAATGGCTCGGCAACAAATGGCGCTCACGCAGAGTGCGCTTGGCCTGCTGGAAACGGCCCGACCTAGTCAGCTTCACAGCAACGTGGAAATGGATCGCGCCGTCTTTGTGCTTCTCCTGGAACACCACCGCCATGGGCACGAGCGCTTGGCCGTCCGGTTCCTTCCTAGGGCGGCCGCCCGCGGACCCAGTCGGAATCGGATTGTTGAATGCGTCGGCCACTGCTTTTCCGATGTCCTCCCGGCTCATTGTGCCAAGATCGCGGTACTGGCGGCCGTCGGGAAGGGTCGCGTCCAGGACGCGCGATATGGTCACCAAGTAGACCCACTGCAACGAGTCCAGCTTCTCGGCCTCAGCCAACACGGTCTCCAGAGGCGACGCGGCGTCCTGGTCGGGCTGCGTTTCCGAAACGACCTCGGTTGTCAGGCTCTTGAACTCGTGCTTGCGTTGGTCCAAAGCATGCTCTTGCAAACCGAGTTTCAAAGCGACCTGGCGGCGACACTCACGCAACGAAATGTGTTTCAAGTCCTTGCCTACTAAGACGGCCTTCAAGGCGTCCCGGATGGCTTTGGTTTCGACGGCCTCGGCGTCCACGCCTGCGGACGGGACTGGGGGAGACGGCACCACGTACCCCGTGTCCGTCTTCTGCCGCAAGCGGCGCCTCGGCATAGAGGGGTCTGTGAGCATTGCAGTGCACGGTACTCCCAGTGACAGGTGCCAAGGTCCGCACGGTTCTCCCTATAAGACTTGAGCCACAAGGCAGCTGCAGTGGTTTTAAGCACCAATGGCCATGAGCACCAGGACGGCTGTGAGCACCACTTCAAAGCCTGAGAGCACCTCAGAGCCCATTAAGTAAGAACGGCTTGAGCCGAAGCGCCTGTGGGCGCTACAAGGCTGGTGATCACCGCAACAGCCTCAGAGCACCACAGAACTCGAAAGGACCTCAGAGCACCGCAACAGCTACAGAGCACCACAGGACGTGAGTCTCAACGTGCCTGCGAGCACCGACTGGTCAGAGGAAGGGGGAGGGAGGGGGAGGGAAAGGTATGCCCACCAACTGGACATCGACGACATTCCCAAGACAACCCAAACAGGCGCTGGAACTGCCAAATGGCCCAAGATTGCCCCAAAACCTGTCTGGGTCGGAGCGGGAAAACCGATGCAACTTGTCCCAAGAGTGCAAGCGAGGCCGATTCCCTCTCCCTGAATCCACCGCACTCCGAGGGCTCTGGAAGCAGGGGGCGGAGGGGTGGAGAGGACTTGGGGGTTCTGGAGGGTTCTGGAGGTTTTGGGAAGTCCTCCGAAAGTAGAAAGAGTTTGGGAGGGTTCCCGAGGATTTGGGAGCAGTGCGAGGGTTTCGGATGTATGGGGAGTTGTGGAGGTTTTGGGGGGAGCGCGGAGGGGTTAGAAGGTAGGGAGGGGTTCTGGAGGGTTTGGAGGTTTTGGGAAGTCTTCCAAAAGTTTAGGGGGTGTGGGAGGGTTCCGGAGGATTTGGGAGCAGTGCGAACGAGGGTTTCGGATGCATGGGGGTGGGGGGTGGGGGGAGGAGGTATGGGAGGGTTCTGGAGGGTTCTGGAGGTTTTGGGAAGTCTTCTGAAAATTTAGGGGGGTTGGGAGGGTTCCGGAGGATTTGGGAGCAGTGCGAGGGTTTCGGATGCATGGGGGTGGGGGGTGGGGGGAGTGCGGAGGGGTTAGGAGGTATGGGAGGGTTCTGGAGGGTTCTGGAGGTTTTGGGAAGTCTTCCGAAAATTTAGGGGGGGTGGGAGGGTTCCGGAGGATTTGGGAGCAGTGCGAGGGTTTCGGATGTATGGGGAGTTGTGGAGGTTTTAGGGGGAGCGCGGAGGGGCTAGGAGGTATGGGAGGGTTCTGGAGGGTTCTGGAGGTTTTGGGAGGTCTCCAATAGCTTCGCTGTCGATTTCAAGATCGATCTCACGATCAATATCACTATCGATCTCACTGTCGATTCCACGGTCGACCTTAAGATATATCTCAAAATCCACGATCGATCTCAGAATCGAGCTCACGAAATCCGCACCAAATTCAGTGGGGCGCCGGAACATACGAAGATTGTATAATCGTACAAAACCAATAACATTGCACAGAATCGGACTCTCCAGGTGCTCTCCAGGTGCACTCCCGGTCAAGCGGCCGCCTCGCGACAGGGCGACGCGACCCTGCGGGTGTCTGAAGGGCGATGATAATGGCAATGCCAATGGAGGGAGAGCGGGAGGCAGGGAGGGAGCGCAAGCGGCGGCCCACATTGCCAGGAATCGGTGCTCTCGCCTCCGCGCCGGGCAATCCTTACAAGGGGGCGCGCAGAGTCCTGAGAAGAAAAATCAAAAACCCCCTTTTAGGACGCCGAATTTTCCACCCGGCTGCCCTGGCCCCCTGGGGGTCCCCCGTTGCAATCTACCCCTGTTGTCCGAAAACAACAAAAAAACAACAAAGTTTCGTTTACGTGTCCTTCCCTGCTCCAATTCAATACCCCTCACAGACTCCGAACCCTCCCTCGGGCAGCAGGGACTACTCCGTCAATCCACAAGAGCAATTAAATCTCTGCGGAAAATCTCGGGAGTGTGTGCTTACCAAGCTTGGGAAGGTAGCGCGCCGTGAATGGGGCTGGGGAAGGTCAGTGCCTGGCCGTAGGCCTTCCGGTCCGGACACGTAATCAAAAAAACGACGGGGGGGGGGAAAGCGTGGCCAGCGCGACGGCGAGAGCACCATTCCGACGTCCACGTGCAACCCTGTGGTACGTAACGGGCCCACAAAGAAAACGGCTCCGACACGAGCGAGGGATCCATGTCCAAACATATTTTCTCGGAGTGTACGCCTGGGGCGTCCGCCGTCGACATGGACGCGGGTCCTGGCGCGGTTCGGTCTGGCCCGGCAAAAGCCTCGGCGCCTGGGCGGGCGTGCGCAAGCCTCCCCGATAGGGAGGAGAGAGGAACACGCTGTGACCAGCGCGACGGCGAGGGTGCCATTCCGACCAGCGACCCGAACACGGCGAACTTCGCCCACGACCCGCGCTCGCGACCTGCGACACGACGCGCGCCCCGCGCCCGCCACCCGTCTACGATCCGTCTGGCCTGGCGGCCCCAACTAGAGCACAACCTAGAGCACAACCTAGAGCACAACCTAGAGCACAACCTAGAGCACAACCTAGAGCACAACTCATGAAGGTATATATTTTCATAGAAAAAATGGCACTCAACCTTCCCAAATCAAAAAAGAATCAATACTTTCTTTATTTTCGAACGCGAATGCGTGCCAGACTACCATGAAATGAGTTGTGCTCTAGGTTGTGCTCTAGGTTGTGCTCTAGTTGTGCTCTAGTTGTGCTCTAAGGCGGCCCCTGGGATAAGCGGTCGCCTGCCCTCCCCGCCCCCGGACCTTCAATCCGACGGAATTGGCTTTCCTCCGTGTTTGGTAGAAGTGGCATAACGCACCGCCAACAAGTCGCGAAGGCAAGCGCTGTTGGTCGCAGCACCGGCCGCGAGCTCCACGTTGCAAGCGCCGGGCAACGCGCCCTGCCGCCTCCTCCGCCGCGGGCCAGACGCGCGGGCAACGCGTTGCACGATGTTCTGGACACACGTGCAAACGACATGAAGCCGCAATGATACGCAGGCTGTGTCCCGCGCGGGCCTGCAGCAAGGCCCACGAATTCAGACGGACCCAGTCCGCGGGGAGCACCTCGTCCACGGCAACCGCACCCATCGCGCGGACATCCGCCAGCAAGGCGTCTGCCTGCGCGCGGGGTATGCGCGCGTCGGACATGAGGTCGTCGAAGCCGCTCACAGGCGGCACGCCCGCGTCTGCCCCGACCGGCGCAGCGGGCGCCGGGCGGAAAACGCCGACGGCGTCGAACTTTGCCGCCTCCCGGACGATCCACGCGGTCATGCACGGAGCACACGAGAGTACGTCCTGCAAAGAGCCGTCCGACAAGACGGAGGTGAATGGGAACTGCCTCGCGCGGTTCTGCATGTGCCGGATGTCCTCCGCACCCACCTTATTCGTCGTCCCCCAGAGGCCCTCCAGCTTGCCCGTGAAAACGGCGCCGTGGTTCCAGCAGACGTCCTTGTTCCCGTCGTTGAAGGACTGGGAAACCTGGATCTCGGTGTGCTGGCCGACGAACAGAGACAAGAACAAAGAGACGGGGACGGTCTTCTCGTGGGCGAACTCAACCGGCCGGAAGTCGTCCCAGAAGATGAACCGCTTCGTGCCGCTGGCCAGGTTCCGGAGTCCAAAGGAGGAGCCCAAGGCAGGCTTGTGCAGAACCCGTTTCGGAGTGAACAAGTCGTCGAAAGGGTAAACCACCGTGCTCTTCCCGGAATTCGACGACCCCACCAGGAAGGGCACCCTCGTCGTCTTCTTCGGGCCGACCATCAGAATGTCCCGCAGAGACGCCGCGAGCTCCCGAACGTCGAAAGAAGCGGCGCTGCGGGAGAAGATGGTCTCCACGGCTGACCTGTACGAGCACGCCGGGCCATGGGGACATGTCTCCTCAGCGCAGCGGCACACGAGCGTCCAATCGTCCACCGCCTCGAAGGCCGCGTTCTCGCGGGCAGACGCCCACTCCTTCGTCTCCTCAAGGTCCGCCGTCAGCTTGCGCACTCGGCTGCGGACGAACCGCTGCATGGTCTTCGTCCCGCGGTCCTGGACGTGCGCCATCAGACGCGCGGGCAACGCGTTGCACGATGTTCTGGACACACGTGCAAACGACATGAAGCCGCAATGATACGCAGGCTGTGTCCCGCGCGGGCCTGCACTAAGGCAAACGCGCGTAAAGCGCAGGAGTCGCGAGCACCGCAGGGCCCTCGCCATGGGCAGCCGAGCACCTCCCGAAAGGCAGGGATGGAACAGTAGCAGCACGGCTACGATTTTCAAGTCTACGGATCCACGACACGTTTCTCGGTGCATGCGCTGCGGCAGGAATTCTGAAATCTCTCGGCGGTCACTGAGGAAAAATCCGCTCTGGCAGAGGCCGAGCCGCCGATTCGGCTGGCTCCCCGGCCGCGGCTGGAAAAATTGCGTCGTGGCAAAGACCGTGCCGCCGACTCGGCTGATCAGCGCCAATGCTCCCGGGCCGCAGGCTCAATCGCTCGGGATCCTGCCTCCCTCGGCCACGACGACCTCCGCCGCCTTCGTCTTCATCTTAGCCACGGCTGCCCTGATGACGCTCTTCGGGATGCCCATGGCGACGCGCCTGAGGCGCGCCTTGCAAGCGCTCTGAGACTCGTTGGCCGGCGCGCTCTGCTCTGCCATTCGCCGGTTGACCTCCGCCCAGAGGAAGTAGTCGAGGGGGTTCAAGTCCGGGGAATACTTGGGGAACTTGATGGGGGTGATCTTGAGACCCCGCCTGAGAGCGACCGAGCGGGGTCGACCGGGGCGCGAACGGCGGGCGATCAAGAGCGGGCGCCGACTGGCGGGGCGATCGCCAGACGGGGCCCGACTCGAACTCGCGGCCGCCGCGGTGGCGCGCCAACTAAGGGGGCCGCTTGCAGTCAACGGCCTTCTTGCTCTTGTACCCCGTGGGGTCGTTATCCTCCAAGATGCGGAAGGCGCGGCGCCCCTTCCGGCAACGGCGAAGCGCGGGAGCGAGGACGCCCGCGTAGAAATCGCAGGCTGCGTCGGCGCACCACAGGGCGGGCAGGTAGTGCCAGACGCGGACCTTGTTGTTCACGATGGCTGCGGCCACGTGAACCTTGGCGCCTGGGTTCACCCTGTTCCGGTTCCCCTTCGGCTTCGTGAAAGGCTTGAGGACCTCGGGGGAGGGCCCGGCCAGCCGGCCCCCCGCCCGGCCCCCCCCCCGCCCCTCGCATCCGAAAGAAACTACGCCAATAAGAACCCTCATACCAGAAAGAAACGACGCCAAGAAAAACATGTCCGATCGCCTGGACGGGGCCGATCAGACCCGATCAGACTTGGATCGCAGACATGGATCGGGGCAACGATCGGGGGCGGAATCGGCATCTCGACTTCGGCGGCCCGGCGGCCCCCGCCCCCAGCCCCTGGGATCGCGCTCGGGACCGAGAGTCGCGCCCCCTCTGCCTTGGTGCGAAGGTGGCCGCGAACGCGACTCTTCTTTGCGTGCGTCTTCGCCCGCTTGGTCATGGGGATGGGGAACACCTTATTGTCGATGATGGCATCGACCTGGTGCGTGAAATAGTTGCCCGGGAGCCGCTTCCACCCGGAACGCGCCGCCACGCGCTCCTCCGCCTCCGCGGAGCCGTGGAGCGGCTCCGCGCGGGGGGCGCGCCAGGTGACCCCGAGGCGCTTGAAGTGCCTGGAGGCCGTGCCCTTGTGGACGTCGGAGACCCGCGCGGCCTTCATCACGTCCTTGAGGTGAACCTCGGCCTCGCCCTTGGCCGCCCGAATCAAACGAACCCGCGCGTTGTTCAAGGCGCGGAGCTTGACGGCCGTGAGCTTGGGCTTGCGGCCGCGAGTCCCCCCTGGGCCACGCCTGTGCGCGGCGCCCCGGAGGGCCCGGCGGACGGTCGTCAAATCCGGCCCAGTCTCGTCGAGGGACTCACGGGTCCGACTAACGAGGTCGCGTATCTCCACCGGGGTCTTCCCAGCGGCGTAGAGCGAGAAGCAGCGGTCGAGCTCCCTCTTGCTGAGGTGGGGCGCCATCTGGGCCCGCGACCGAAAAAGGGGTCAGATGGCCTCGGGGCGGGGCGAGGCCGTTGCTGCGGTGACGACTGAGCCGAGACAGCTGCGCCAGGTGAACGGAAGGCTTGTCGATGTGACCGGGGCACGCGGCGGCGTTCATAGTCTGGCGTCGCTCTTGACGCCGCCCTCAAGACGGGCGGCTTCGGGCAGCCTCAAAGTCCTTGCAGGGCGCCAACGGGAGAGCGCAACCCGTTGGGCAGCGGGGAGGGGGCCAGTCTTGCAACGCAACCCATGCAGATGCCCGTAGCCGAAGATGCCATGGCAAATGAGTTACCCCCCACGAGCGTCTTATAGTGACACAGCGCTGTACATTCACACACACACACATATATATATATATATATATATATATATATATATATATGTGTATTCCCATATTTATATGTTGTATGTGTATATATATGTATATATACACGTGTATACATAAGTGTGTTTGTACACCCTATTTGCACATCCATATGCCTTTCCCCTATGTGTGCATACACCCATGCATACACGTACGTGCATGCATGCATTCACGCCGCCACGCAATCCGAGGCTATTCACGCGACGCCACCCGTGCGGAATCGTCCGGTGGCGACACAACGCTGATGGCCCCCTTACTCTCCCCTGCAGCTTCCGTCCACTCTGCCCTGTCTACCTCGTCTCGCACTTCTACCCCTTCGAGGCGTCATTTCCGCGCAAAGACGATGGATGCGCTGCCGGGTGCCGCGCGCGCACGCGCAACCCCACTGGGCGGCGCCAGCGGCGCCCGCGCGCGCGTGCTCACGGGGGTGCAAAAGCTGACAGGCGGGCGCTCGCAAACCAAGTGGACTTGGTCAGCGGTGCCCGCACGCGCGTGCTTCCGGAAGCGCAAAAGCTGAGAGGCGGGCGTGCGCAACCCAACTGGACTTCGCCAGCGGTAACCGCACGCGCACCCTCGCGAGCATGCAAAAGACGTGGGGCGGAGCGCTGGGGGGAAGCCCCCGGCGCTGCCCGCGCGCCCCCTCAGGGCGAAACCGGAGAGCCGATTTGCCCAAGAAGTCTGCGCTTCTGGAGCGGGAGCAGCAAGGCCCACGAATTCAGACGGACCCAGTCCGCGGGGAGCACCTCGTCCACGGCAACCGCACCCATCGCGCGGACATCCGCCAGCAAGGCGTCTGCCTGCGCGCGGGGTATGCGCGCGTCGGACATGAGGTCGTCGAAGCCGCTCACAGGCGGCACGCCCGCGTCTGCCCCGACCGGCGCAGCGGGCGCCGGGCGGAAAACGCCGACGGCGTCGAACTTTGCCGCCTCCCGGACGCTCCACGCGGTCATGCACGGAGCACACGAGAGTACGTCCTGCAAAGAGCCGTCCGACAAGACGGAGGTGAATGGGAACTGCCTCACGCGGTTCTGCATGTGCCGGATGTCCTCCGCACCCACCTTATTCGTCGTCTCCCAGAGGCCCTCCAGCTTGCCCGTGAAAACGGCGCCGTGGTTCCAGCAGACGCCCTTGTTCCCGTCGTTGAAGGACTGGGAAACCTGGATCTCGGTGTGCTGGCCGACGAACAGAGACAGGAACAAAGAGACGGGGGCGGTCTTCTCGTGGGCGAACTCAACCGGCCGGAAGTCGCCCCAGAAGATGAACCGCTTCGTGCCGCTGGCCAGGTTCCGGAGTCCAAAGGAGGAGCCCAAGGCAGGCTTGCGCAGAACCCGTTTCGGAGTGAACAAGTCGTCGAAAGGGAGGTCATCACCGGAGATGGTTCCGCTGGGCCGGAGGGGGAGCGGAAACCGGAACCGGAAACCGGAAACCGGAAACCGGAAAACGGAAAACAGCGAAGAAGGAAACGGAGGACGACGGCAAACGACAAAAATCGGAAAACGGAAAAGAGAAAACGGAAAACGGAGAAGAAAGACGCGGGGGGTGACGGGAGAGCACCGGAACCGGAAAACGGAAAACGGAAAGCGGAAACCGGAACCGGAAAACGGAAACGGGAAACCGGAAAGGGGAAAACGGAAAACAGCGAAGAGGGAAGCGGAGGCCGACGGGAGACCACCGGAATCGGAAAACGGAAAACGGAAAAAGGAAAATGGCGCAGAAAGACGCGAGGGACCACGGGGAAGCACCGGAACGGGAAAACGGGAAACGGAAAACGGAGACCGGAACCGGAAACCGGAAAACGGAAAGCAGAAACTGGAAAACAGCGAAGAGGGAACCGGGAGCCGACGGCAGACCACCGGAATCGGAAAACGGAAAACGGAAAACGGAAAATGGCGTAGAAGGACGCGGGTGCCCACGGGAGAGCACCGGAACCGGAAAACGGAAAACGGAAACCGGAAACCGGAACCGGAAAACGGAAACCGGAAAACGCAAAGAGGAAAATGGAAAACGGAAAACGGAAACCGGAAACCGTAAAACGGAAACCGGAAAACGGAAAACGGAAAACGGAAAACGGAAAACGGAAAGCGGAAACCGGAAAACGGAAACCGGAAAACGAAAATCGGAGGAGGAGGAGGAGGAAAAGGAGGAGGAGGAGGAGAAAGAGGAAGAGGAGGAGGAGCCTCCCTTCCTCCTCTCTCCCTCTTGCCCCCCCCCCCGCCCCTCCTCCCTCCCCGTTCCCTTTGCCAGGCTTCCTCCCTCCCTCCCTCCTGCCTCCCCCCTCGTTGATCCTGCCCTCACCTCCCTGTCTCCCTCCTCGTTCCCTCCTCCTCGTCCTCGTCCCTCTTCCCGAGCGGAGCCGGCGCGCGGGCTGGCCAGACCGAAGGACAACGACGATCTGATTTCAAGAAGCCCCCAAAACGTTCCAATACTGCTCCAAGAGGCTTCCGAGACCTCCAAAGAGGCCCCCAAGAAGCCAAACTCCTTCAAACACCAAAAGAAAATTAATGATTGTTGCTTTCTCGCCTTTTCGCTTTTGATGGCCATCCGAAGCCCCAAGGTGCATCCAAAATGGCCCAGGAGAGCCCCAGGAGAGGCCCAAGAGAGCCCCAGGACGGCCCCAAGAGCGCCCCAAGAGCGATCCAAGAGAGGTCCAGGAGGCGATCGTCGGTGCTCCCAAGGGGGGAGGCAAAATGAAGCTCACCTTTTTGTGATCGATGTCCTCCAAGATGGCCCCAACAGCGCCCCTAAAGCTCCCAAGAGCGGCCCAGGAGGGCCCCAAGAGGCGCTCAGGCAGCCCGAAGATGCCTCCAAGCGGCTCCCGAGAGACCCTATACGAGGCCCCAAGAGGATCTCCGAGGTACCCAACTCTCCGTCCTTTTCCTCCTTCTCGTCATCCTCGTCCTCGCCCTACTCCGCCTCCTCCTCCTCCTCCTCCTCCTCCTTCGACGACGACGATTCCTCCTCCATCCTCCCCCTCCTGCGGTATATGACGGCGTCCCCCGCCCTTTGTCCTTCTGCATGCTCCCCCACTTCTCGTATCATCTCAACTCTCCTGGGCATCGTTTCTGGATGGGCTGGTGGGGATATGTGAAGCGTCAACAATAGCAGCGCGTTCATCGATTACCGATGACAAATCCCACCAGTCCTCTGGGCGGAGGTGGTCTACGGCGTTTCCTCTGGTAGCTTTCCAGAAACCCCTCTCCCTACCCTCTCCCCTGGACCTCGCCGCACCCCCTGCAATATTCTGCAAAAGAGGGGTGCAAAGATTCCGCGCTGACCCTGCAACACCCTGCATTACCTTGGAAAACGACCCTGCAAACCAAACCCCTGCAGTACCATGCAATACCCTGCAAACCACCCTGAAATACCCTGCAAAACGACCGCGCGCCCTCTGGGTGGAGGAGGTCAGAAGCGGTTCCTCCGCACGCTTTCTATTCCCCGAGCCCGCTGGGCGTGAGTGGTCTAGCAAATTGCCTCTTCCAACTCCCCTGCTTCGCCTTCGGGGAGGGGCCTATCATTTTTTCTCATTAGAATGATACCGGAGAAAAGACCCAATCAGGGCTATAGGGTTAGGGGGCTATAGGGCTATTGAGCTATAGGTCTATAGAGCTACAGGGCTATAGAATTGTAGGGCTGTTGGGCTATTGGGCTATAGTGCTTAGGGCTATGGGGCTATAGGGCACCCCCGGGCACGCCCGGGCACCCGGGCACCCGGGCCCCCCGGCCCCCCCGGGCACCCCCAGGCACCCGGGCGTGCAGCGAACATCGGCGACAAACCTAACCTAACCATATGAATCCGCTATGACCCCTACAGAAGCAAGCTCTGATTGAGGAATAAACACCCCCTCCCTGGCCCGACTGGCAGCCAATCTGGATCCATAGCGACACCCATGGCAACACCCCCCACAACATCCCTGTCAAAAGCCCTACAACATGAACTTTGCCTCTGGAGCCTGGAGCATGCGCGGGCATCCCACGACCACTTAGCATGGGGTCTTGACAAGGACGGCGGCGGTGCCGGCACATTGTTCGCCGCGCGCACACCCGCACACAACAAACCCGCCGTCACTGTGTATGGTTTTTGACAGGGACGGTGGGAGGGTCGACATATTACCCAATGTGGCGCACCTGGTCCGCGTGGCGCAGCTGACATGTGAGGCCCATCTCGCGGGCTTCGCGTACCTGGGTGGCGTTTGCATTGGTTCCCGATAGCTGTCGATGGTGGCCCCTGTCCATGCTGAAACTCGGGTGCTTCTTATGTGTTGGGAGGGCGGGTGGGAACAAGCGAGACGGCTTGTTGCTTGTGGGTAACTTAATCACTGTTCCCTATTAATAAACACCCCCTCCCCCAGGCGACTGGGGGCCAACCCGAGTCCATGCCGACACCCCCCCCCACCATCCCTGGTAAAAAAAAAAAAAAAAAAAAAAAAAAAAACACTCCTGCCTCCAAATTTCGGGAACACATGCGACAGCCAACCCGATGCGCCCCCCCCCCCCAAACCATCCCCTGTCAAAAAACGATACAGAGTACACTTGGCGGCGGCGGCGGAGGCTGCGGCGGAGGGACGGGGGACGGCACCGGCGGCTGGCAGGCATGAGGCCCGGCTGCGGCGGCTTGCGGCGGCGGGGCACGGCGGCAGAGGGAGGGGGACGACGGGGACGGCACGGAGGCGGCGGCAGGGCGGACGGCGGCCGGCAGGCGGACGGCGGCGGAGGAAGCGGCTGCGGATGCGGCGGCCGTTTTGGCAGCGGGGGGCGGCGGCGGCGGCGGCAGCGGCGGCGGCCGGCGCGGCGCGGGCGGCGGCGGCCGGCGGCGGCGGGCGCCGGCGGGCAGCGGCGGGGGCGGCGGCGGCTGCGGCGGCGGCGAGGCAGCGGCGGCTGGCGGCGTCGGATTGGCCCCAGTAGCTCCCCATCCCAAGACGACTGCTGAATATGCTGAGGCTCGGGCCAGACTCGGGTGCTACGTATGTGTTGGGAGGGCGGGTGGGATTGAGCGAGGCGGCCTGCGGGCGGGGAGGGGGTAACTTAACCCCTCCCCCCACCCCCTCCCCTGGACCTGGAATGGAGGTGCCGCGACCGATTTGAGCGTCCAAGAAGGCCTCGGCGAGATTCTACAAATCACTGATTCTCCTGAGGTGTTGGGGGGTGGGGGGGGAGAGGCTAAGAAGGACCCCCCTTCTTTGATCGAGCTCTTCCAAGATGGCCCAAAGATGGTCTCCAAGGCTTCCAAGAGTGCCCCAGGAGGGCCCCAAGAGGCGCCCGAGCGGCCCCGAGAGGCCACAAAGAGGCCCCCAGGAAGCTCCCAAGAACCCCCCAAGAGGCCTGAGGTACCAAGACGCTTCAAGAGGGTCCTGGGACCGCCAGGACGCCCCCGAGACGTCCAAGCAGGACTCCAAGAAGCTCTCAAGAGACATACGAAGAGATTCCGAGAGGCATGCAGGAGGCCTCTGGCCCTTCAGCTCACCTCCTCCTCCTCTTCCTCCTCCTCCTTCTCCTATTCCTCATCCGCCTATTCCTCCTCCCTCCTCCCTCCGCCCCCCCCTCTCCCTCTCCCTCATCCTTCTCCTCCTCCTCCTCCTCCTCTGTCCTCCCCCTCTCGTTGTATGACGGCTTCCCCAATCCCTTATTCCACTGCGTGCTCCTCCGTATCTGGGATCAGGGCAACTCGCCTGGGCGTCGTTTCTGCATGAGCTCGTGGAGTTACGCGAAGCGCCTAGACTCAGATCTCGGCATCTGCGGGCCTAGGGGGTCGGCGGTGTGGCGTAAGCTAGTGAAACATATGTCCAAGAATTCTCGCCGACACCGCAGGCAGTGGAAGGCAAGAAACTGAAGCACGCGGGCATCATTACAGACCCTCCGCACAAATCTTTCCGTCTTGCTCTGTCTGACCTGGCCAGTGCCATCTTCTGAAGTAGCCTCACGGGACGAGAACTCGGAGAGGGTCGATCCCAGCCTTGGTTAAGTTTCGGCCGAACCTCTCCATGAATGACCCCCGAGCTGTGACCCACGCGTGGCCGGCGAACTCCCACTCGCGGAAGTCAGGCCCTGCTTGCGAGCACTGCATGGCCTGCTCATCGTCACCGAGCGCGAGAACCAGCTAAGCCCAAAAGGGAGAGGCGGTTAGGCTCTCCTCGCTCCCGCCATCTGTGTTCGCCAGCGGTGCTAGGTGCCCATCGGCGCCCCCAGGCTACTTTCTCTGGCGCTTGCCGAGGAGAAGTGCAAATCTCCCAGGCCAGAGAACGACCTCTGGCCCCTCCTCCTGCTCGGGCGCGGCCATATCTGCGAACGCACGGATCAATGTAATGCATCCGTGGACCTCTTGATCTTTGCCACGTGAGGAACGAAATCCAAGTGAACAGGGCGCGCCGAAGTTGAACTGAACCCCAACTCCGCGGGAACAGCCCCCCTCGGCGCATCAATCTTTGACCGGGGAGGGAAGACTGTTGGTTGGCGGGGGGGCAGGCGGTAAGCAGCAAACATGGGACGGGGGAGCTCGGCGTCGGTTCCAGGTATCCTCCAGTGCAATCTGACCCAGGACTGAAGAACATCCCACAAGAACACGAGGCCATCCGCCGGCCAAAACAACCCAAACCATACGATCACTCGAGAATATCATCCCCCAGGATGCCCCAAAAACATCCCACGAACTGTTTTTTTTTGCGTCGGCGGCTAGGCAGAGTAACTGCGCTGGCGGAGAGCTAACTAAACGGGGGTGCCGTTGCAGCGAAGTGCGCCACCATGCAGGAGAAGGGGGCAGGGCAGAGGAAGCGGCCGAAGGAGGGGGCGGGAAGGGAGCGAGGCCTCTCAGGGGGACGGGTCACGCCCTGAGCGCGTGGAACACCCCACAAACACGAAGAACAATAGGTTACCCTCCACGAGCCGACCTCGATCTTGTACCTCGGTCCGGCTGTCTGATTTTTTGTTCAATCCGCGACCCCCCAGCAGCTCCCGACCCCTGCCCCTGGGGGCAGTGCCTCGCCCCGTGGATCCCATGCTGGCGGCCCCGAGGCCCGAAGACGGGCCCCAGAGGTCGAGATCGAGGGACGCGCCCCAGATCGAACAAATCTTATCGTCGCTGGCGGCCCGCTCAAGCCGCCGCGTTAGGCCGCTATGCAATCTCGCGTAGGGCCCGCTCTTGATCGTGAAAAAAACGCAGCGTGCCGCGCTCGCGTCCCGCGTAAGCTGTGGCGTAAGGCCGCTGTGCCATCTCGCGTGAGGCCCGCTTTTGAGAGCCGCTCGCGTGGTCGCCCAGCTTCCCCGAGCTGTTTCGGAGCCCCCGCCATCGAGGCGGAGCCCAGAGATCCGGGGTTCCCAGTCCCAGCTCTCATTGGCCATGCCGCGGAGAACCCACGAGCTGGCCTGGCAGGGCCGTCCTGCCGCACCGCCCGAGCGGCAACGGCCAGGCCGCCCGGCGCAGCGAGAGAGGGTCGGGGGGACGATCATCACCGCCATCGGCTCGCGAGGCTCTGGCCGGAGACTCCGGACCCTCTGGCGCCAACCTGATCGGACAAGAACGCAGAGCGCCGCGTTTGTCCGTTAGGCTCGAACGTAAACCACCAAAAAGAAGAGGGCGACGACAAGGCGGCCGATGACGAGGATGACGGCGTGGATGACGGGGAGAGTAGCGAAGCTCTGGCCAGAGAGTCTGGACCTTCTGGCGCCAATCCGCCAGTGCCCGTGGTGCCGTACAGTCACCAGGCATTCGAATGTAACTGTCGACCTCTTGACTTGTGCCCTGGCAAATGTTGAGCTTGTCTGGACGAGGCGCACCGAAAGTAAACTGAAGCCCAACTCCACAGGAACGGCCCCTCGGTGTACCAGCTTTTGACGACGAAAGGGGGGGGGGCCTGTGCTGGGTGCAGGCGGCAAATAATAAAACGCAAACTAGAAAACGGACAACAGAAAACGGAAACCGGAAAACGGAAAACGGAAAACGGAAACCGGAAAACGAAAAACAGAAACCGGAAACCGGAAAACGGAAAACGGAATTTCGTTTTTTTGCCCAAGCCGGGAACCGGATAACGGAAAGCAGAAAACAGAAACCGGAAAACGGAAACCGGAAACCAAAAAACGGAAACCGGAAAACGGAATTTGGTTTTCTGCCATAACCGGAAAACGGAAACCAAAAACCGGAAAACGGAAACCGGAAAACGGAACACCGGAAACCGGAAAACGGAAAACGGAAACCGGAAAACGGAAAACAGAAAACGGAACTTCGTTTTCTGCCCAAACCGGAAAACGGAAAACGGAAACCGGAAACCGGAAAACGGAAAACAGAAACCGGAAACCGGAAAACAGAAACCCGAAAAAGGAAAACGGAAAACGCAACTTCGCTTTCTGCCCAGACCGGAACCGGAAAACGGAAATCATGGAACGGAAACCGGAAAACGGAAAACGGAAAACGGATTTTCGTTTTCTGCTCCAGGGTTCTGTTTTCCGTTTCCGTTCCGGTCCGGCGCGCCTGCTGACCGGAATCATCTGCGGTGGTGTTCTGTCGAAAGGGTAAACTACTGTGCTCTTCCCGGAATTCGACGGCCCCACCAGGAAGGGCACCCTCGTCGTCTTCTTCGGGCCGACCATCAGAATGTCCCGCAGAGACGCCGCGAGCTCCCGAACGTCGAAAGAAGCGGCGCTGCGGGAGTGGTCTCCACGGCTGACCTGTACGAGCACGCCGGGCCATGGGGACATGTCTCCTCAGCGCAGCGGCACACGAGCGTCCAATCGTCCACCGCCACGAAGGCCGCGTTCTCGCGGGCAGACGCCCACTCCTTCGTCTCCTCAAGGTCCGCCGTCAGCTTGCGCACTCGGCTGCGGACGAACCGCTGCATGGCCTTCGTCCCGCGGTCCTGGACGTACGCCATCAGGCTGCCCTTCGTCCACAAGTGCTTGGCGATGATGGTCGAAGTCAAGTCTACGAGGTCGAACGTCGTCTGCGTGCCCATCGCCCCGGCCGCCTTGTCCGTGGCCTCCCGGCGCTTCACCCACACGCCTGCCATGTATGGCTCCTGCGACATCTCGAAGAGGTCGATGGCGTCGTTCTCGCGCGCGAGCCCGGCCCAGTCTGGCTGCCACGCCCACGGGGCGTCGTCGACATCTGGTTTGGCTGGGGTCTCCATATACCCGTACCTCACGGCGCTCCACATTCGCTGGTGGGAACCAGAGAAATGGCTCGGCAACAAATGGCGCTCGCGCAGAGTGCGCTTGGCCTGCTGGAAACGGCCCGACCTAGTCAGCTTCACAGCAACGTGGAAATGGATCGCGCCGTCTTTGTGCTTCTCCTGGAACACCACCGCCATGGACACGAGCGCTTGGCCGTCCGGTTCCTTCCTAGGGCGGCCGCCCGCGGACCCAGTCGGAATCGGATTGTTGAATGCGTCGGCCACTGCTTTTCCGATGTCCTCCCGGCTCATCGCGCCAAGATCGCGGCGCTGGCGGCCGTCGGGAAGGGTCGCGTCCAGGACGCGCGATATGGTCACCAAATAGACCCACTGCAACGAGTCCGGCTTCTCGGCCTCAGCCAACACGGTCTCCAGAGGCGACGCGGCGTCCTGGTCGGGCTGCGTTTCCGAAACGACCTCGGTTGTCAGGCTCTTGAACTCGTGCTTGCGTTGGTCCAAAGCATGCTCTTGCAAACCGAGTTTCAAAGCGACCTGGCGGCGACACTCACGCAACGAAATGTGTTTCAAGTCCTTGCCTACTAAGACGGCCTTCAAGGCGTCCCGGATGGCTTTGGTTTCGACGGCCTCGGCGTCCACGCCTGCGGACGGGACTGGGGGAGACGGCACCACGTACCCCGTGTCCGTCTTCTGCCGCAAGCGGCGCCTCGGCATAGAGGGGTCTGTGAGCATTGCAGTGCACGGTACTCCCAGTGACAGGTGCCAAGGTCCGTACGGTTCTCCCTATAAGACTTGAGCCACAAGGCAGCTGCAGTGGTTTTAAGCACCAATGGCCATGAGCACCAGGACGGCTGTGAGCACCACTTCAAAGCCTGAGAGCACCTCAGAGCCCATTAAGTAAGAACGGCTTGAGCCGAACCGGCACCGTTTCCGGATAGATCCGCTGGATCCGGTGGATCCGCCGACAAATCCCAAACCGGCGCCCTCGCTTGAGCCATCCTCACAAAACCGGCCCCGGGGGAGGTGCCCAGAGGAGCCCAGAGCGGCCTCCGGCACCGTTTCCGGGCAGATCCGCTGGATCCGGTGGATCCGCCGACGAATCCCAAACCGGCGCCCTCGCTTGAGACATCCTCACAAAACCGGCCCGGGGGGAGGTACCCAGAGGAGCCCAAATCAGCCTCCGGCACCGTTTCCGGACAGATCCGCTGGATCCGGTGGATCCGCCGACGAATCCCAAACCGGCGCCCTCGCTTGAGACATCCTCACAAAACCGGCCCCAGAGCCCAGAGCGGCCTCCGGCACCGTTTCCGGATAGATCCGCTGGATCCGGTGCCGGCGCCCTCGCTTGAGACATCCTCACAAAACCGGCCCCGGGGGAGGTGCCCAGAAGAGCCCAGAGCGGCCTCCGGCACCGTTTCCGGACAGATCCGCTGGATCCGCTGGATCCGCTGGATCCGGTGACGAATCCCAAACCGGCGCCCTCGCTTGAGACATCCTCACAAAACCGGCCCCGGGGGAGGTGCCCAGAGGAGCCCAGAGCGGCCTCCGGCACCGTTTCAGGACAGATACGCTGGACCGTTGGATCCGCCGGGGAGGGACTTGCCGCGGCCTTAGAGGACATCGAGACTTCGCGCAAATCCGACAAATCTCCAAAACCGTTGTGCGCGAAAGGCGCGGCATTGGGGGCGTGCGCACAGGGCAATGTTCGGTGGCTAGCCAGGGCCAGTGTTCCCCGCGGGGCCCCAGTGGGCCCCTGGGCTCCTGGAAGCCGACGGCGGCCAAAGTTCACCGAAAACGCCCAAAAACGCCCTGCCTCGATCCTCGACGGCCGCGGGCAAAAACATGTCAGCCAGGGGAAAAAAAGAGAGGGAGGAGAAAGAGGAAGAAAGGGAAGAGGAGGAGGACGAGGAGGAGAAGACGACGACGACGACGACGTCGACGACGACGAACACCGACGACGACGACGACGACGGACACCGACGACCACGGACGACCACGACCAGGGGCGAACGACGCGACGGACACCGACAACGACGACGGATACCGATGACCACAGACGGACACCGATGATTACAGACGACCACGACCGCGGACGACGACAATGATGCCGGACGGCGACGACGACGACGACGACGACGGACGACGACGACGACGACAACGGGCGACGACGACAACGACGACGACGACGGACGACGACGACGGACGACGACGTCGGATGACGACGACGACGAAGACGACAACGACGACGACGAATTCGAAGAAGGGCGACGACGACGACGATGATGGACGACGACGACGACGACGACGGTTGACGACGACGGGCGACGACGACGACGACGACGAACGGGCGACGACGGACGACGACGACGACGACAACGGACAACGACGGACGACGACGACGGTGGACGAGGACGACGACGGACGACGACGATGGCGGGCGACTACGACGACGGACGACGACGGACGGACGGACGGACGGACGACGGACGGCAGCGGACGACAACGGACTACGACGACGACGACGACGAGAAGGAGAAAAAGGAGGGGGACGGGGGGGGCGAGGAGGGGGAAGAGGAGGAGGATGAGGAGGAGGAGGAGGTGGAGGAGGAGGAGGAGGAGGAGGAGGAGGAGGAGGGAGGAGGAGGAGGCCGAGGAGGAGGGAGGAAGAGGAGGAGGAGCAGGAGGAGGAGGAGGAGGAGAGGAGGAGGACGGGGCAGCAGGAGGAGGAGGAGGAGGAGAGGAGGAGGGAGGAAGAGGAGGAGGAGCAGGATTGAGGAGGAGGAGGACGGGGCAGCAGGAGGAGGAGGGGGAGGAGGAGAGGAGGAGGAGGCAGGAGAGGAGGAGGAGGCGGAGGAGAAGGAGGAAGAGGAGGGGGTAGGAGGAGAGAGGAGGAGGAGGAGGAGGAGGAGGAGGAGGAGGAGGGAGAGGAGGAGGAGGAGGAGGAGGAGGAGGAGGGGGGAGGAGGAGGAGGAGGAGGGAGGAGGAGGAGGAGGCGGAGGAGCAGGGAGGGGGAAGGCGGAGGGGCAGGGAGACGGGGAGGAGGAGGAGGAGGAGGAGGAGGAGGAGGAGAATGAGGGGGAGGAGGGGGGGAGGATGAGGAGGAGGAGGAGGAGGAGGAGAGAGAGAAGGAGGAGGAAGGAGTAGGAGGAGAGAAGAGGAGGAGGTGGAGGAGGAGGAGGAGGAGGAGGAAGACGACTACGAGGAGAAGAAACAGGAGGAGGAGGGGAATGAGGAGGAGGAGCAGGAGGACGAGGGACCGGAGAGGAGGAGGAGGAGGAGGAGGAGGAGGAGGAGGAGGAGGAGGAGGAGGAGGAGGAGGACACGACGACCCAGAGATCCGGGGATGTGTGTTTTTCCATTCGTTTTTTTGTCCTTCTGAGTTTTGGACTTTGAGCCCCGTCGCCGGGCCCAGGGGCCATCGAAAATGGCTCCAGGGTGAAAAACCACTCCCGGCGAGACGACCGCGACCACCCAGAGATCCGAGGATGTGTTTTTTTCAATCTGGCGTTTTTTCCTGGATTTCGGCACGCGGGGCCCGTCGTCGGGCCCGAGGCCATCGAAAGGGGTGTCGGGGCGAAAAAGTACTCCCAGGGAGAGGGCGGGACCTGGCCTTGAAAACGACGACGACGACGACGACGACGACGCGGCGACCAGCGCTGTAACGCGCAGGGGGGACTGCGGCGGCGGAGAACAGAAACCTCCTGGATGGGCCCGAGTAGATGGGTCGGAGCATCTCGCCGCATCGCCGATACATCGGCGAAACATCGGCGATGCATCAGCGATGCATCAAAGACGCCGGCGGTGCATCGGCGACGTCGGCGCGACGCAAATCAGGCTCCGCATCGAACCGTATGGGCGATGCATCGGCGATGCAGCGTGATCCTCCGACCCCATCTACTCCGACCCCATCCAGGAGGCTTAGGGAGAAATAATCGCGAAGTTGAGGGGGGCACGCGTTGGATAAGCAGCATGACGATGAGGAGGGGCGCAGGCGGCGTAGGAGGGAGGTGGAGGCACGCTGGCTAGATACCGCCCGTTAGGAGAATGTTCGCGAAAAGAGCTTGGTTTCTTGCCGCCAGGTTCCGGGCAGAAAGCGGTTGCACTTGAGTGGCCTTTTCTTCCTCACGCGCCTCGATGGGAGCATGTCCCAACCTTGCAAATGAGGACGAAACCGCCCGTCAATCGCAGCCGCCCCCGGCGCGCAACCTGGTGGTGAGAAGCCAAGCGCACTTCAAGAGCAACTGGAACCTGCTGCTGTCGAGGCGCGCTTGGTTTTTTGCCGCCAGGCCCCGCGCCGAGAGCGGTTGCACTTGAGCGGCCTTTTCTTCCCCACGCTCTTCAAGGGCATCATGTTCCAAACCTACAAGTGAGAATGATAACGCCTTTCAAATGCAACCGGTGCCAGCGCGCGATCACCAGCCCATCCAGAAACGACGCCCAGCCGAGTTGAGGTGATCAGGGATATGTCGGAACGAAGAGGGGTAGCCGTTATCGTTCGAAGGAGGAGGAGGAGGAGGAGGAGGAGGAGGAGGAGGAGGAGGAGGAGAATGGGGAGGAGGAGGAGGATGGATGGTGAAGAAGGGAAAAGGATGAGGAGCAGACGGATGATGAGAGGAGGGGGGATGAGGGAGGAGCGAGAAGCAGCAGGAGGAATGCCTCTTGGATATCTCTTGGGAGGCGTTGGCATTCTCTTGGCGGCCCCCGGGACCTCTTGGGGCGTCCCGGGTGCTTCTGAAGGGCCGCTTGGGGGCCAGTTGGGGGCGTTTGGGGGGCCTCGCGTGGCCTCTTGGGGCCAGATTTGGGCCTTGTCGGAGGCATTGGAAGCATTTTTGGGACCATCTTGGAACAGATCGATCAAAGAGGGGCGGATCCTTATTTTGCGGCGCCCCTCTTGAGCCACAGTCGCTTGTTGGGGACCTCTTGAGGCGCTCTCTGGGTGCGTTTGTGCGCTCTCGGGGCCGCTTTGGGGCAATATTGGGCGTCTATTTGAGCCCCCGTGGGACGTCTTGGAGCCATCCAGAGGCCCCGGGAGCCCATCGGAAGCGCAAGGGGGAGAATACAACAATCTGCGATTTTCTTTCAAGTTTTAAAAGGAATTGGGCATCTGAGGGGCCTCCTTGGGGTCTCCGTGGCCACTTGGACCCATCTTGGGGCCGCTATGGTCTCTCTCGGAGGCCTCTTGGGGGCCAGGTTGGGCCAACGTTTCGGTATTTTGCACCATCTTGGAGGCCATTTTGAAGCATCTGGGGCCCTCTCGGGGCCCTCTTGGGCCAAACGCTTCCCAAGGCCGCAACCGAAAAAGCCCACACCAATCAAAGTCCCAGTGTTTTTCGTTTCGTTCGTTGATCCATGAGGAGGGGTCCTTAATCAGGGTCCCCCCTTTAGGGCCTCTAATGTCGCATTGCGTGTCCCTCCCAGGGCCGTTTTGGGCCCTGCTTGGCCCCCTCGTGGGGCCCTTTTCGGGCTTTCGCGGCGCCATCCTGAGGCCGGGGAAGGCAATCGGAAGTGAACAGGCGAAATCCCCAAAGATGTTGCTTTAGGTGTTGGAAGGATTTGGGCCTCTTGTGGGCCTCCTGGATTTGGGCTACGTGGCCACCTGGACACGTTTTCAAGCGATCTTGGGGCCTCTTGGAACCTGTTG